ACTATTGTTCAAAGAATTTTCGCATACTAAATATAAATCCATGCTAAGATCTGTGATTTTTTTTCAAAATATGAGCCTCCCCAAGCCTAATGGCTCCGCCGCCACTGATGATGATTATATGCATCATACATGTGTATATTTGATATAAATTATAACAAATGAAGTATCGACACAAACATTGTAAAATTGATAATGCAACTTTTTTTCTGAGAGAGAGGAAATGATCGATTTCACCCAGTCCTTCCTCTGCGAACATCCCTGCATAAGCTATCTCAGAGACAGAACCTACCGGTCTGAACTATTCAGACTGTGGACACCTTCTCTGAATTATATTTGAGATAAAAAGAAAAATCTTTTCCTCTTATGACTATTTAAACTATCAAAGGTTTTATTTATTTCCAAATGCTAATAGTTCGTAAGTGTATCCATATATCTGTCCCATAGAAATGATATTCATCGTTTGATTCTTCAAATTAAAATTTTTGATAAATAATTCAATTTTAATCTAAGAATCATTTATTTATTTTTTTATCCCAAAATGAACACAACAATAAAGCATTAAGAAAAAATGTTCTGTCCGAATCGTGATCATCATTGATTATTCTACAACAGAAATAAATATATTTTATTTTTTTTGTAATAAAATAAAAATCTTACACTTTAACTTTGCTTTTATGCTTGATGAATTAATATAATGATAAAGTATAATAAGCACAAACATGAGAACATTAAGTATATTAACCATAACAGCTAATTGAATATCAGAAATCATTTTTAATCTAAAATAATAAATATTTTCATTTTCTTTTTTTGTTTTTGTTTATTTAACGCAGAGGAAAAGATAATTTAATTGAAACATAAATAATGATTGTAAGAAGAAGAAGAGCACAAATAAAAACAAGAATTAAAATCCATTTTATATGTTTTGTACGTTTTTTTACTTGTACAGTTGTTTCAACATTTTCTGTTGCTTCATATACCATATTATCAGTATTTGTTAATGCTAGTTCAATACTATTAACCATTGTACCTTGTTCATGTATAATACGATGTATATCATGAAATGTCTCATTTAAATTAATTAAATCTTCTTCAAGATCATTAACTAAAATACTACGTTCGTGAATATAATCTAATTCAGTTTGTTGATCATTGAAATTTTGATTAATTAAATTCACTAATTGTTCTTGTTGTTCATTATTAGATTGTTCAATATCATTTTCTTTATATTCATAACCAAATTTTATTTGTGCACATTGTTGAATTTTTTCAAATTTCTTTTGATTTTTTTCAAGATTCATTTTTAAAGAATTTAAACGTTTTTTTCCATGAAATGAATATGAACATTGTTCTAATTTTGATATAGATGAATAAAGAAATTTAATTTGTGATATAATATCATTTAATTGATTAAAATATAATTTTTGTTTTTCTTGATTATTATTTAGTAATAAATTTTCCGATGATTTCTCTATGATTTGAAGAGAATTTATTAGATTATTTAAACGTCGTTCACAACCATTTAAATGTCTTTGAAAATCAGCTTTATTAGCAATGATATCAATAGCCATTTTAGATTTGCATTTATTTGTCTTTCTTTTAAACACGAAAATGATGCCAATGATGTCGAAGAAAACAAAACAAAACAAAACAAAAAAGACTAACGTGTAAGTATGTATAATGTCGACATTTCATTGTGTTCTATTCTTTTTCTTTTTTGTCTATCATACAAAACATAGAATTTTATGTAATGTGTTTGTGTGGGCCCAAATTCTATTCTGTTCTCAGATTCAAGGTAATGAGGAAACGAATCATTTGGAAGTTACGAAACAAAAAAACAAATGATTTTGAAAAATATTCGAATTTCTCCTAGAATAATATTATGAATTTTGTGTTTCCTTTAATACAATTCATCGAAATAAATTTCAAAAATGTATATAACTGATATAATTCTTAGCTTAACAATGTTGAATGTCATTTATATCAACTAATGAGTCATTTTAAATAAATATTTCTATATGAATCATGGAACTACTGAAAATATTTGGACAAAGTTCAAAATATGGTTTATTTTGATAATAAATATTTTCATCAAATTTGTTTTAGAAATGAATGATTTCTTCAGTCTTAATCTATTCTTTTTATTTTATTAATATTTATAGTTCAAATATAAATCTCTTTCAATATTATAACTAAGTTGTTATGTCTTCTTTAGTACGGTATAGATAGTGTATTTATTGATCGGTTCATTTATGCTCGCAATAGTTTAATTTTAACTTTATCTATACATATCAAAGGTCAGTAAGGTTATGTTATTTAAGATGTGCAGATTAGGCGATAGAAAAAGAACAACTTAATTGACAAATACATACAATTTTATATTCATTGTATTAATCAGAATTTTAAAAAAAATCTCGTATTTAAGATGTTTATCTATTCAGTGTTGTTCTTTATTATTATACAAGATTTTTTTTCTCAGATATTTTTAATCGAAAAATAATTAACAAAATATTCATTCATTTTTCAGCCTGTCGAAAATTCAACACATTGAGTTAGAGTTAGATTTTTGTGTTTCTTTCTGAATATGAGTTCAAACAATTTTTGATTCACAAGTTAGGAGATGATCTTTTAGAGACGCAAAAATAATGTTAGGACATAAAAAAATTCATACTTTTTTGCATAAAACTAAGCTACTAAGTGATATAAGAATCAAAAGTTTCAGAAATGATTTTACAAAGAAATTGACACGGTATCTTTTAACAAGTCACTTAGAGAAAATTAATTATCTTGTCCATAGACAAAACACTTGCTCTTTTATTCATTGAATTTGAAATAATTTTCATTTCGACTTTGAGTAAGTTTTGATATGTGAAAGTTTGTCCAAACTTAATTAATGAACCTCTAAAAGATCAAATCATAATTCTTAAACCAGAAGTTCTAGAAAAATTTTGAACCCATATTCAGAATTATACTTGGAACTGATGCGTTTAACATATCAATTAACCAATCAGTTCTTTCGATAAACAATCTATTACTTTCGTTCTTGAAGTTTCTAATAATAACAACTGTTATTTTAGTCTATCTTGTTTTATCTAATGATATGATTTCTTCACAATCGATAAGTTCGATTGCTTCTTATTTGAAATAATTATCTAACATAGCTGAAAGGCATCTCAATTCGTAGAAGAATACGATTCGCGACCGAAAGATAGTGCGATTTTTTTACTATTTTAAAGTTCCTTAAAATTGAAATATTTTTACAGTTGTAAGATCCTAATAGTTAGCAAGAATTTGACAACATAACGACATTTTTTCTAATATTTTGTAATGAAAGTATGAACTTAAAACTAATAGCTATCAGAGTTTTACGAGATTTGGTTAAAAATATTTCAGAAAAGTTAATTCAAAATTTCGAGGTTAAAAATCTTTAGTTTAGATCGAAATTAACTTATTATATCTGACGAAATTTTTGTGAGTATAATAAATTCATTGAACATGATCTAAAGACTTCAATCGTACGATGGAAAAATGTTAGCTCAAAATTTTGAGCTAGGATTTAGCAAATGACTAAAAATCTGCTAGTTGGAAACTTTCAGGCTCATTAAAACCATGGAAATCGTTAAAAACGAGCTAAATAGGTCAGTTTTTGCGCCTTAAAAATCAACAAAAAAAAAATGACCGGTTTCAAATATGTTCGAAACGAACACAAAATTCTGATTTTAGTTCAATGCTTTCAAATTTGTGCATATTCTTTCAAGAGACTGAAAAATGAACGAACATTTTGTTGTTATGTTTGTCTCATAACAAAAACCTGAGTCTAGCTGTTAATTAAATATTTATTAGAAAAAAACAGCTTTTTATTCATTTAAATAAATTTTACTTTTACGAATCAAAGAAATCATTTAGATCTAATGTACTATTAGTATTTTGTTGTGAATTTGTTACTGTTTGACTATTATTATCTATTGTTGTATCAAGTAATGTTTGACTAAGTAATTCACTTGTAAGTGTTTTTGATAATGTATTATTATTTTTATTTGCATGAGCACAATCAGCAACAATTGAACGAATCTAAAATATAATTTATATAAATAAAACAAAAAAAAATTTTAATAATTTATTTACCATAGTTTCATATGATAATGTAAGTAATTTAACAAAACGTTCATCATTATATGAAATACCTAATCGTTTAAGATGATGTTGAATAAGTGATATACGAAAACATGGTTCATATTTTGACATTTGATTGCATAATTGTTCAATATCTTCAACAGTAACTAGATCATCTTCATCATTTGACACTCGAGAAGAAGCCATTTGTTCTAAAGTTACTAAAAAGAAAACAAACAAACAAACAAATACTTGTCAATCTGTTGCTTATTGGCGATAGATTCATCCAATAGTATCTAGAAATTGAAAGAATGTCGCTTGTTTACAAGAAAAATAATTATTTGATTTGAATGGTACTGGAATTTACTGTTTCTAATGGCAAGTGTATCAAGATGTATTTGTACTTTAAACTGTCTTTGTACAAGTATACTTGCCCTCTGTACTTGTGCTTAAGTACAAAAAAAAAAGAATACTTTTGTATTTGTACTTAAATACGAAAGAAAAAAGTACTTGGTATTTTTACTTGATGTATTAATATAATAAATTTCATCTTTAAAGTTGAATATTTTTAATATGTTTTGCAAGACTATCGTGGCATCATAGGATCAAAAAGTAAATGAAAATAAGAAAATTTTAATGATACTTTTTTTTTCTGTCATATTTTGATAAATTGACTGGAGAACACTTGTAAAAATAAATCATCTATTTTTATTGTTCTAGTTTCTTCAAAATTATGATAAATGATGATGCTTGTTCGACTTACTATCGTAGATTAATGTAATTCTTAAAGAAACTAAGCAGAATCTATGTAAATTTAGATCCATGTTCTAGAAAGTCAGAACAGATCATTGCTGCTTCGCTACAGTTTCTAATCGTTGATAGATTTTTAATATGGAATGTAGTAGACGGTTAAACTATTTAATTGAATAAACTTCAATATTTGAAACATATTTCGTTAATAAACAACAGTGAAGTATGAAAAGTCAACTTATCGTTTATAAAATTATTTAATTTTCGAATTAGTGAAAATATCAAATTTAACGAAGAAAAAAAACATGTTTTTACATGGTACAAAATAGTGCAATTAATTTAATGCATGTTTAATAATTACATCTACCATATATCGAGTTTAATGCTAATTGAAAATCAATAGATATTTTTTCAAAAAACAATCATGAAATTTGTAGAGATTATTCTGATGAATAAGAGTTCTTGACTAAATTTTAATTTTTCAAAGGTAATAATTACTGTTGTTGCTGAAATTCCTTTTTTTATTATCTAGAAAACAACAAAATTTCGAATTCAAAATCATCATTTTATGAAGATAATTAAGAATGAAACAAAATTTCATATTGAAGTGTTGAGAAAAAATGTGTAATAACGTTTGAACGAAAATTGTATGACTCCCCAGTCTTTAGATCATCATGACAAGAAATATTGATTTTGATTTACCTGTTGAGAAAAAAAACAAGCCGCAAACCGACTATTGTGTAATGCTTTGTACCGTAAATAGTAACCGTGAATCATTCTATGATTGTGCAATATTTTACTTGTTTTTTTTTCTCTTCTCTAATATTCTTTTGATTGCATCAGAGAAAAAAACAAAATTGCGTTTTTTTTTCACTTATTTTCTTCTTTCATACGCAATGTAAAGACTACGCAAGCGTCCCTAGATGTATTGGGGGGCTAGTTACAACAAAGATGAATGTGGTAAATGTTTTACAGGTGTAATAAAAGTTCGAAAAATCTTCCTAGTTATAATGGATAATAATATATGATTTTCGATGATTGGATGAATGAATACACTGCTCTTTCCCAGTTTGTCATCAATATGTGTCGTTTGACAAACACAAAAATCGGATGTTTCTTTCTTTTTTTTTCCTCATAATACACCTTACTAATATAAAGAAACTATACAATAATAGGTTGTTTTGGATTTTTCATTAGAAATACTGATTCAATTATTTGACTACGAAAATAAAAATTTTGATATTTGACACTTGTTGGTTGTAAAACAAAAGACTTTTGAATATTCTATATTATTCACTGAGAATGATAACATACTAATACTCTGCAATAATAGAAATGAATTGATATCAATGTAATATTTAACAATCATATATTTCCATCAAGAAGTATAATGTTTGAAACTTGGAAACCTTATGATCGATTTTTTTACTCTACATATGTATAAATTTCAAGTCAAAACTAGAACTATTCATTGTATGATGAAACTCAAATTTAATTATTATCGAAGCTATGACATAAATTATTGTTTTTATAATCAAATTCTTTTTTAAATATATTTATCTATTTGAAAAATAAAAAAATTATACAAATAAAATCTTTTTTATATTCAGCAATTAATACCATTGGAATTGATATCTGCAGAGATAAGTACATGTTTAACGTAGATGATCATTTTGTCAGTTTTGTTATGGATCAATGCATTATCGTACATGAACAACAATATATGAGAAGATAATCCAAAACAGAAATGACACCATCGATTAAACACATTAGCATTATACTTATGCTCTATCAAATTCGCAAAACGAAATATACAGCAAATCAAAGAAAAAAAGTAACCATAATGTTTAACTGTAGACAATGATTCAATAAGATGGGTATCGATGCATGTTTTTTTCTTGTCTCTCTTTCTCTATATCTTCGTTAAGCGCTTGTTGTCAATGAATAATCATTGTCAAGAAAACAAGAGATACAAAATAAATATAAGCAACAAGCTAGAGCCTCAAACTTACTTAAAGAACAATAGAAGAAAGACAGAATTGAAAGAAAAAGGGAGCAAGGTCTATAATTTTTTTTCACTCTACTAATGGGCAAAATTAATGAAAGATAATAAAAAGAGAAATAAAAAGGCAGTTGACTTGCTTGACTGCTTCTAGTCAAACGAACGCATATATAAACCAGTGCGGTTTAGTGGCTTTCGTTGCACCAATCAGCTGGATATCAATACATTATCGTCTATACCAGTAGAAAAAGTAAGGTAAAATGGCTGCTACTGATGTTCTATTTACTCAACCTGATGTAAATTATGATGAACAACTTATTTTAAATGAATATAGAAAAATTCTTGATACTGGTAAGACTTCATATGGTAGAACACGCTATGGTGTTACTGATGGTTTCAGAAGAGTAGGAGCTGGTGGTAGTTATGGTTTACCATTAAAAATGGGCACTAATTACAGAAGTGATCTTGTTTATACTGGAGCTGGACTTGGTGGTGTTAATTATAATGCATCATCATTGTACGGTTCATCAGTTGGTAATGGTGGTGGTGATCTAGCAATTGTTGGAGGTACAGTTGGACTTGCAGGTGCCGATTTAGCTGCAACCAACTATTTATCTACATCGCAAGCAACCGGTTTTCAACAGTATCAAACCGATGCTCAAGGTCTCTATCAAGATCCTAATCCAAAAATTATACGTCGTCCAGCACCAGGTGGTGGTGTAACTTATAAACAAAACATTGGAGTTCGATACCTTCGACCACCACCTGTTCCAGCACCAGGTGTAAGTTTTCTTTTTGTTTTTATCTGTCTATTATCTTACAATATTATTTCTATTATAGCCATTGATCATCAAAGAGGTGCGACCACCCCAACCACCACCACCACCTCCACTTCGTATTCGTCAACAAGCTCCACCACATCGTCCACCACCTCCACTTATCTTACTTGAAAGACCATCAACTCCACCAGCTCCTGTTCCTACTCAAACTTGTAAAGGAGAACAAAAGAAAACAAAACAATTTTTTCAATTTCTTATCTTTAATTAACTGTTCTGTCTAGTTATCCGACGATTGGCTCCTCTTCCTGTTCCACCACGATCAGTAGTTGTCGAACGTGTAGCACCATCTCCACCTAAACCTAGTACGTCTCTATCTTTTGATTTCTGTTTTTTATATCTTTGTTAATCAACTAATTATGATTAGAAAATGTTATTCTCGAACGATGGCTCCCATACGGGGCACCAGCTAAACGAAGAACAATTGTTCAACGTGCACCACCAGTTAAACCATATTCAAATCCACGCAATGTTGTCATTCAATATGAATCTACTCCAGTGAATATTGTTCGAAAAGTTCAATTTCTTGGTGTTACTCAAGAAGATCCTCAAGCATATATTCAACGTTATGGTGCATCACTTTTAGATTCACATACACTGGAACAAATAGCACGTGCTGCTGGTGTTGTAGAAAATATTGTATGTTATTTAATGATACAATTTCTGTATAAAGAAATAATTTTTCTTTTATCTATTTAGTCACCATCTGTTTTAGGTGGTTCAGTAGCAGCTAACTCAATTCAATTCGCTTCGTCAACTGGTACTCTTGGTTATGATGCTGGAGAGGTTGATTTTAATAGTAGTTCACCATATCAATGGTCATCTTATTCAGCCGATACTGACTTAGGAGGAGTTTCCCTCGATGACAGCTATGATTATGGTTTATCTCAAGATGACTTCTGGGCAACTGGATATTAGAGTAAGATAATTATTGTGTTTTTAATTTTTTTTAATATTATGTACGTTATTTAGAAAGCTACAGATGAAATCGGTGAAGTAAGATGTAGCAAAATATTCTTTTTTTTTGAAAAACAAAATCCGATGTCTCAATGGCGTCCAATCCATTTTTTCTCTTTTTTTTTATTTGTCTAACAAAAATATTATTCATGTAGTTAAAAAAATTCTTTTTTATGTTAATCATTTTTACTAGGAATTTTTTTGTTAATATATATAAAACAAAAAAAAATAACAATAAATATGAAATATCGATCTAATGTCGATATAGGTGAATAAAGAAATTTTATTTATGATATGATTGATTATAGTATCATTCTTGTTTTTTGTTGAGTATTAGACCGTTTAAGCCTTGTTTACAACCATTTAAATCATGTTGAAAATCTGCTTTATTAACAATCATATCAATAGTCATTTTAGATTTGTTTTTCTTTCAAAAACGAAGCCAGTAAACTAATATGTAGGTATGTACAATACCAGCATTTCATTGTGTGAGTTTTTTGTTTTGTTTCCACAATTGGAATCATATAAATAGAATGAAAAAAATACGAGATACATTTTGATAACTAAAACTTTCTAAAAGCAAAATGCTTAATCTATGATAGACATCATATAAACTCTTTATCATTTTCTTTTCAAATATCGAATTCGAAAGAGCGCCTGACACGGCATAAGATAGTACATAATTTAAAGTTGCTCAAAAGACTTTGCTGTGTCAGATGCTCTTTCGTATATAATATTTGTAAAGAAAAATGACTCATTATATGAAAATAATAATGAAACCTATCATAAAATAAGCATTTTACGTTGGAAGAAAATTTTACGTATCAAAATGTAAATCGTATTTTGCTCATTGTATTTATATAATTTCAATAGTAATGAAGAATTGTGGAAACAACAAAAGATTACTTCAGTCTGGTATATATGTTCGATTTTACTACGACTCAATATTTTAGAGATGAAAGTTTTTCTAGACATAGTATAAACATTGTCAATTGTTCGAAAAATTATGTCTCGTATTGTATATGAAATTGACATTAATCTTACCTTTAAAATGTCGATTGTCATTTAGGTGTATTACTGAATTATTTTGAATAAATATTTCTTATATAAACATAAAATCTGTAGATAAAATTAAGTATAAAAAATAAAAATCTAAATAAATCATAGAAGTACTTGAAAATACATTGATGAGATTCAAATATGCAACTACATGTGATTAATTTCGATGATATTTATTTTCATTTTATAATATCAAACTTATTCTATAAATGAATAATTTCTTCAGGTTCAATCTGTTTTTTTTTATTTGTTGATATTTAAAGTTCAAATATAAACATGGAAAATCATCTTGAAATTATACTAACTTAAATGATAGATTTATTCAAATCAAAAATACGTAGCTTAAGACTTTCTTTGCTAGAACAGAATAATATTTTGCTTTTCAATAATAAACGAAAGTTCCATCTTATTCAGTTCGATATAAATAACATATTTTGCCGATCGGTTCATTGATGTTCATGATAGTTTAATTTAAGCATTATGTATACGTATCAGTAGTCAAACAGATAATATTATTTTAGATGTGTTTATTAAACTACAGAAAATAACGACTAAAGTAACAAATATATACAATTAATAAAAATCGCGTTAATCAGAATTTAAAGTTCTGTGTTTGAGATACTCATTTATTCAATGCTTTTCTTTGTTAGAAGAAATCATCAATTCTGTTATTATGTTTGTTGCATAATAAAAACCTGAGTCTAGCTGTTAATTAAATATTTATTAGAAAAAAACAGCTTTTTATTCATTTAAATAAATTTTACTTTTACGAATCAAAGAAATCATTTAGATCTAATGTACTATTAGTATTTTGTTGTGAATTTGTTACTGTTTGACTA